GGTCGTTTTGGCTACAGAGGAGTCTTCGCCGGATGGTGTTGGCGAGCACTCTCTGCAATGTTTCCAACAAAATCTGCCTATCTTCGTTCACAATGTCCCCTTACAGTTCATCTAGGTTTTTGTTCTATTAATTCTGCTCTTCAAGTATCACCATAGGAAAAAAATCTATGGGATTCAGATCCGGTGATTGCACAAGCCATTCTATCGGTCTTCTGCGACCGATCCAACGTCCACCGAATGTCTCGTTCAGGTAGGAACGAACCGATTGGGCCAAATGTGCAGGTGCGCCATCCTGCGGCCACCAAACGTTATTCATTAGTCCTTCCGACTGTAGCTGCGGAATGACGCTGCTCTGCAGCATTCCCATGTACGAGGATGCTAAGAAATGTCAGACATTGGTACTGTTAAACGACAACATAATGGACACGCTCCTGGAAAAGAAAAAAGGCCCAACGATTTTTCGACCAATCAACCCATCCCAGTCCATGAGCTACGCGCTAGGTTGCACACATGAAGCGCTACATTGCCGTGGGTTGGTCGTTTCCCAAACATGTTTCGTACCTTCGCCATGCAGAAGGAACAACGCCTCATCGGTGCATGAAATGGAATGTACATCTACACTGTTTAAACACAAACGGGCGAATTCCAGGTGCTTCTGTGAATCGCATGCGTTCAACACTTGCACCTCCAGTGCACTGTACCGCCGGAAATATGTTCACTCCAATATCCGATACACAGCATACGGTCTAGCAACGTTGTGTGAGTTGCCGAGTGCTGAGATGGCTGTTACTGCGTACCCCTTGCGTAACCGCGCAAGGTGTTAGTTCATACATGACGGCGTGAGGCCGTCCGCATTGTTTGATCTTGTAAACATCTAATTCGTCGTTTTTACAGACATTTCACACATCATGTAAATATAAGTAAAGCACTGAATAAATGTATATTCTCCATTGTACACGAGAAACACCATGGAAGGCCTGATCAATTTGTACCACTAGCTATTGACTGACTGTGCGGGAAATAGTTGCATTCATGACTAAATTGGTGTGCTGTCTAATGGTGCCACCAGTGCGTCGGGGCAGACTCAAATCTAAGAGTATTGTCACGCCAAGACAAGTCAAGAATTCGTTTTTATGCACCCATGAAGGGTGAATTTTCAGCTGTAACACACACACGCGATCGAAATGGTAAAGCGAACAACACGGTAACCTTACAATGCGCTCCCGACAGTATGATTCGCTTTAGCAGCGAAAGCAGCCTTAAATAATTACGGGTTTATGCATAGCCAGTCAATAGGCGATAACAGCTTTTGTGACGATAGGAATACGGTGCCCATCGACCGGTCATCAAATACGGCCAGGCTGTTTTTCTCAATTGCTAGCACAGCGCCCCACTAACCAATTCGCAGGGAACCCTTTTGCTGGCTTTTTCACCTGAGTGAAGGCCGACTACCGATCGATCGAAGCATGACACGTTCAGTGTGGCTATGTGGTGTCTGGCTCACATCCAGTTCTCACAGCCGAACGGCTTGTGGTGCGTTGGTCTCACCCTGCGGTCGAGGCATGACACATTCATTGCGGCTGTGGTGTTTGCTAAAGGTCAGTTCTCACAGCCGAACGGCTCGGTGTGCTCTGCGATCGTAGGCATACATGTCGCGTCTCTATGTCCCATCTCACTCCTGCCGGTAAAGCAATTTGGGCTATTGGACAGTTAGCAATTCAGCGTACCGGTTGCACGTTAGCACCTGAGTGCAGCCGCTCTTAGCCGCTGACCAGATTATTATAACACCCTGTAGATTTATAAGCGAAGTAGTAGACATCGCCCGTATGGATAGGTGAGAAAACCTGGGAGGTTTATCGAAGATCTTCAACATGGCTGACTTACATGCGATACTTTCCGGCATTATCTTTATGGGTCTCCTAATTTCAAGGACTGGGCCACTAATATGGGTGGAAAATAATGGCTTAGGACACCGCAAGATAACTTGAGCACTCCTTTAGAACAACTGGTTACAATGCATCTTGGCCAGTGACTCCAGTCTTCAATTTTGTTTGTGCTCCCGATAAATTTCCATACATGTGCTCGTTAAAGATGGAAGAGAAATTACACCCTGTGGAGAACAGAACGTAACATTTTGTCCACATTTACATGGATAGACTCTGCAAAAATTTCTGAGGAATGCGATATGATAAAAATGATGGGGCTTTCTCATCAAAAGAGCACCATCCCATATGGGGCGATTTGAGAACTCCACTTCCTATTTCCATGGAAGTAAATCTATAAAGTGACCGATGATAATGCGGTTATGTTTAGTTTATCTTTCTAGGGGGAACCAGTGTACAAATGACATTGAGGCAGATGTTGGATGACTCTGCCACATCAAGCAGAGTAATTGGATAGATGAGCGACCGAATGAGTACCAGATGGGTAGACGTCACTCATAGTTGTCGGATAAAACATTAGTAGACTATTATAGGAAAGCATGAGTGACAGCTGCGCAACGGAGCAAGTATGGAAAATTTGACGAGTCGATTTCATCGATAACACAAGATGGTTGCAAAATGACACGTCATATGGCCTTTCGAAGATCACACTATACAAAGATCAAAATCCGGTATAAATGAACGAAGTGGTCAGTTAGACCCAAAGGGATTTACACCGAATTGTTGACCACCACACGTTCTCCGTTCAGTGCATTGTCCATCTGGTGCACACAGAGCTGTCAACGCAGCCCAGACATTTGGTATTAATCTTAGTTTACGGATGAACGCCATGCTCGATTGGCCGGCAGTGTGGTAGCTCCAAGTCTATCCACGACACCGGGATTATCAACTATTGCCAAGGTATGTGACTAAGGGGTACATACCTCAATTGGGGAGACAAGTGCGGTGCCATGAGGACAATGGTAGGAAAATGAGAAGACAGCCACCAGCACGGATCGTCATCGGTGTGCATGACGCAGTTGCATTGGATTGTAGTCGGGGGAGCAGGCGATTCACATAAAGCTATGCAGGCTAAAGGACAGCCCAAGCAGGAATTTGGATAAACCGCCAGTCAGCACGACAAGCCACCAACTATAGCACCACTAAATTTTCAACGATTCGTACAGTGGGTGTGGCATCCGGTCGCAAACAAAGCGGCGACAACAGGGATTCGGAACAGAACCACCGTGTAGTGTACGCGAATGTGCGATTACCAATGAATTGCAACGAAAAAGGTACCGCCGTAAACATGCGATGGATGGTAATTTGTCGATACCAACCATCGCAAGAAATGCGGTTCTAAAGAGCATGCAGATAAAGGGCTGGGCGCATCACGACAAGGAAGTGAAACCCCCGCTAATGATAGTAATTTTCAATTCAGTGCCTTCATTCCTCAAGTCGTGAAAATTCTGTGTGCGAAGGAGCAGGGTGAGGTGACCAATGAGTAGGCTGCGGAGCACGTGCAAATATGACCGAATAAGGTGCAATGATCCACCTACAAACAAAATCATTACTGAAGTGATGGCACTATCGTACATCAGCAGTGATCCGAAGGTATGACCAGAACGAACAATTTCATAAGTCTGTGTCAGTTTGCCAAGTAAATAGTGGGTCATAGCACTGTAATTTCAGCCACTTAGAGAGAGGTTGGTGGAACCCACCCTATACTGTGTGGTCGGTAAAACCAATAAAAGGCGATTCCCAAAACAAACGAACTTATCCATCGTTTCTGACTGTGTTACACGGATAAGCGAGCGCAGGAGCTGCTTCTACTGGGCTTTGAAAGAAAGCCGTTTTAGTAAACTTGAATTAAGAACTAAAGACACGTAACAGTCACATGGAAATCGAAAAACTGCAGGCAATATCAGTAAATAAGAAATTCGGGTGCTGAGACAATTCCAGTGTCATACAGAGGTTAAACAAATACAACGGATCAAGCTTGTTGTGATATGGAATTGGTCAAAGTAAAAGCGAAGACAGGTTTAGACGTGCAAAGCATAGCAATTAGGCCGTTCAGGTCAAATCACAGTTGTGATATGTGAAAGACTCAGGGATATCACGTCACAAGTGGTCTCACATGCGGGCAAAACATTCAGGGGTGTCAAACGTCACAGCACTACATCTCGAAGAGATAAGTCAACTCCGATTGAAGGACGGAGACTTTAAACTTACGTGGTATATTTTAGGCGACATGCGAGGAACCGAAATTACAACGACGTTATCGAAGTCACGAAATCTAGGGCTTGTAAATAGCTCGACGACATATCGTCCGTATCTTTGCTGAGTATTCTTGTGGTTGTTCTAGGCACAAAAGTAAAGCAAGACTGAGAATAAGTAACTTTTCCTTACATCAATGGAGAGAAGATCCACAGTACCACACAGAGCTTGAGGTTTTGGTATACACTGACGGTCAAGACAGTAGCTCGAAAGCCAATGGATTTGACTACATGTCCAAATCCATGAAATGTATGTGCCGTATGTAGCAAGAGCAAAGTGTTGTCAACGGCATATGCAGGCAAGTGATCAAGTTAAATATGACATTACTCAGAGGTTGGGCACCTCGTAACCTATTTGTAACCAAGATGTGATTGACGGTCGTGGAGCATATATACCGTAAAACCCCTTTGGTGTTTAAGATGTTCTGGGAAGCAGTTGCTCAAAACCTAATGTTACTTAATCGCCTACGTTCCGCGACTCCAACAACCAAAGAGCTAGTTTTGCAAATCCGATCTAGTAAACCTGATTGGGAGAAACTCAGCTATCACGCTGTCAATGCTTGTAGTAGCGAGTTAGTTACCTGGCCGACCCGTAGCTTTGAAAAACATAAGCCAGCCTTATAATCTGGAGGTCGGGTGTTCGAGCCTACGTAGGGGACCGGGCGACCCTCACAATATCCTTAGCCCATGAGCAACAGGTGGTGGTTGCGCGGCAGAGAAGTGTCGGTACGGTGTACTGGCGTACTGCTGATGCGTGTCTAGTTACCTGGGGAACAAGAAAAGAGTTATACAGTGGTAAAGTCGGCAATTAAGTGCTAATATAAATTCAGAAAAGGAAAATCTGAATAGAGAAGTTGATTCTGAGTCTTGGGGGATCTTGGGACATTCGGCACAGGGAAACACTGGCCTTACAGGATGATCAAAAATATGACCAACCAAAACCAAGTGACAGCAGCATGAAGGTGGACCGAATACTGCATATTAACATACAAGAAATAAGCGTAAAATACATGATTGCAAATCCGGCTCAAAATGGCTTAAAGGAATGAGAAAAGGCAAAACGCAAACAGTATTATGTGAAAAAATCGGATAAACACATGTAAGAATGGGCACAAGTTTGTAAAAAAAAGTTTGGGCACACACACCAGAAGGCCGATCACAAAGGCCAACAGCAGTTAAATGAAAGGAAATTTTTACACTCAGAAGTAAGTTTGACACAGTGCGGAAGAGAAAACTGAGGTTGATAACACAGAATAAATTCACCCATGAGAAGGTGAAGAAAGATACGTTAAGAAAGGAATGATCAAACAACATGGTAGGGACTGAGCTATACTCTCAATTTGTTCAAAGTGAAATCAGTGGGGTTGGGGTTTTTTGAAGTCCACGAAAATTCCAACTGGTTCCATCCCATACGAAATATTTCACGGGGAAAGGGATCTGATGAAACAAGCGAAATTTCTCACTCATTCTCTGCCGATCTTCAAGCTAAGTCAAACAAAAAATAGAGAATTTCAGTCACAAAAGGAGTAATAAAACACACACAGGAATGGGTAGTATGAGCGTGTGTCTAGCAACAAAGCAAACAGCAAGTCCATTGGGAGGGAACAAAACGAATGCAAACATCGACTGGAAACGCAAAACTACGTAAGCAGGGATCAAGTGGGATGTTCTCCGAGATAAAGATGCAGAAAATGATTAAAGTGGCGCTTGACGTAGGACCGAAATGCTTACAGCAAACAGGAGCAACGTAAGTCCATTTTGTCAGGGCCAAGCATTTAAAAGCTGCTGCCTATCGTGCAAAAACGAGCTGAAATCAACGAGAGCCAATTAAGAGATTCTAGCGCCATGCCCCGTGATGGATTCCATTCCAAATATAACGCAGCGCCATACACATTTTAAACAGAACGAGGCTCAGACGATAATAAACCAAGGTTTTGCATAAAATGACCCAAAGTAGACAATGATTTCGTGGCAAAAGTTTAAACTTGTGCGCTCCGAGGCCCCCCCAGCTCAGGCTATCTTCATCTGATGAGTCCAAACGGGGACGAAACCGGTTATGGGGTGTCAGTGTTAGGAGGAGCAACACCGAACCACTTCCAAACTCGAAACCCTTTCTCCATGTACCAACGCGGTCTTTACTTGGAAGTGGCCGGAAACACCCTGGAAACGTGTTCGCAAAGACTCATCCGGTCGTTGACGTTCAGGTTGATTATTACTTATAATTATGTTGCAGAAGCGCAGGCCAACACATAGTTACCTCTCGGATTTCACCAAAGCGAATGAACGGCAACGGGGAAGTTAGTCCATATGCACTGAACTGAGCATTTTGCAGTAAATACCCACAACAGAAGAGACAAAAGTTAATCATTGTGGACTTCTACTAATGCAAATTCAAAGAGAAAGGGATAGATAAGACCGTCCTGACGATTTCTACTGATTGTGGTGCTCAGAGAACATTTTGCAGAAAGCACAATCAGTGCCATGTCATCGTTACGTACCAACATGTTAAGTGCAAGAATACAGAATGTACGCTATTGCAACAGGTCGATATATAGTAAAGCAATGGGAATGGGTATAGTTGGAAACTAGTGGAAACGCAGCGGCATCACTCGCTCGTTTTGACTGGTAAAAGTCTGACAAAATTGCAGTGTACTGTTTGTCATAACAGAAAACAGCGAAGTGTAACTCCGAAGAGGCCAGTTGGTACTGGGGCGTAAGACAGAGGAAAATTAACGAAAAATTGAGTACAGTCAATGTGTGGCGTCCCCCTAGGGGATGGTTTCTTGATTACCGATTTTAGTGTGCACAATATATAGTGTTAGTTACGTGGGAACAGGGTGGAACAAAACAAGTCAACTAGAGATATTGACAGGTGGACCTGTGCTTAGTGTGCGAAAGTACGAACTAAGGTGTGTTTGGTGTCACTACGGGTGAGATGGAAGTCTCAGCTGCGATCGCAGAAATTGAATAAAGGGACAATACATGATGTTAAAAGTTGAGTCCATCGTGAGGTCCAGAGACCCCTAATCGCAGGCGCACCGAAGTCTCTTATGACAGTTGTGCTGGGTCAGAAGAGTCAATCAAATATGAGATGATAGGTTTCTCGGTTGAGAGATTCAGATGAAACGGCATGCATATGTCTATTGGACGAACAAGACAAAAGGCGTATGGAAGGCTGACTATGGAGCAGATACAATGTCGCTAATGCATCTACATGCGTACCTCACGTTTCTTCTCAGTAGCCAGTTCAATATTGTCAGCGTGTAACGCCTCGGTGACGTGCTGCCAAAGGCGTCGAGACTCTTCTGGGCGTTGTTTATCTATCGGGCGAACGTACTTCGGTGTAACAGGTAACGTCGTGACATCGATGGTCCAGCTTTTTCCTCCCTAAACGAACAATTGATTAAAGAGAGCTAGTGGCAATAGTAACGAGTACCCGTTTATGAAGATAATCATTTAGTTCGGAGAAGAGATAAACGAGTTCACTTACAAGTTACTCTGATTAGGTGCATGAAACGCGCAACTTGTACGAAAGGCGGACAACCGTGTCATTCGGGAATGTGCGCGTAACAACCCTACAAAATCACTTTAGCACAGGTGAAAAAATGTCAATCGGTGCACAATGGATTGCAAATGGTCTCGGTGGCAAAGCATCCTGTAGGAAGATTTAGTAGGAGTGGCCGCTGTAGCCAATTGACGATCAGCTCGATGTGCCGAAGCTACTTAGGAAAGGCATGTGACGCGGGTGATACAACGACCAAGTTAGGTTGCCATACTCTAACTGCGCTGAAAAAGAGGGTCTATACTGCCATGATGCCAACTATAGACGAACGGCGGTATTGTCCATGACTAGGAAGGTGTAGCGAGGCAGCAGTTTAGCAGAAGAGTAGTCAAAGCTGTTGTGATGAGGCTACCGCGTTCCCTTGTCCCGCATCTGTCTGAAAAGCTAATAAAAACAAGAAATCCGCAACGACTTTTTTGTTCGGAGAAGTGTTGGGCGTTGCCCCCTCGTTCCACTGCACTCCTCGACCGTTTTCGTAATTGTTTGCACTCGTCTGGTGGAGATGACAAACCTGCGAATCGTCTACGGAGCGCAGAGACTATTCAATGAACAATGAATTTATACGGGTTAAGAAGCGTTGCTTTACCAATCCCGTTGGATAGTTGGTGGGGATATCAACATAATAATCATGATGAAAAGGATAGTAAAATAGTTAACACTTTAAATACGAAAATAAGGACTTATCGTTTGCTTCGCTGCAGTCCTGCGATCCACTTAGATTCACAACACCCACAGTTAACAACAAATAATTCCAGGGTAAACTCCAGGTGTAGGATGGAGACATAGTGTTAAGTAACAAAGTGTAAGTGGATGAGTGCATCGTCCAACCGTCTTTTAAATATTGTTAGTGTCGGTGCAGAGACGACCGATTCTGGGAGAGCATTCCACGGGTGACAGACACGGATGGAAAAGAAATTTCTGCGGCACTCCAGACGACTGTATTGTTCTGCAAGTTTTAATGAGTGGCCCCTCAGGTTTGTATTGCTGCTGAGTTGCAGTAAAGGGCGGCACACATGATGTGGGTCTCGCAGAATCAAGTATGTCATAATCAGGTCGCCTCGTAGCCTGCGATAGCTTCCACTGAACAATCCTAGTCGTCGCAGCCTCTCCTGGTAGGACAGATTGCGCATTCCAGTTACGTTCTTAGATGCCCGGCGTTGAGGCTGCTCCAGTGCGTTAAGGTCGTATTTCAGCCATGGATGCCAGGCTTGAATTGCGTATTCGACGTGGGGGCGAACATACGCACTGAGCATTTGTCGAAATATGGAGCTGTTTATTTGTCCAAATGCCCGCCTCAACAGCCCAACGTGTTGATTCCCGGTCTTCGAGGCCTTTTCCGATTGGCTGGAGCAACCCAAGTCATCTTGAACCAGGACACCCAAGTCACGTTCGAGAGTTGATTGTTGCAGTACATCCGTTCCGAGTCGGTATGAGTAGCTGCCCTGATGTCGGATGGAAAGCACCTTGCATTTACTGACGTTGAAATGCAATAAGTTTTGGATCGACCATTGATGCACTGTATCTAAGTCACTTTGGAGCACATGTTGGTCGGCGTTCGCCTGGATCCTGCGCCAGATCTTGATATCGTCGGCAAACATTAGGAAGTTTGAAGCGATTCCCTGTGCAAGGTCATTAATAAACACCAGAAACAAACGTGGACCTAGAACCGAGCCTTGCGGCACACCACACTCGACTTGTATGGGGTCCGATAAAGAGCTCCGAACTCTGACCACTAATTGCCTTTGAAATAGAAAGTTGGCGATCCAGCTTAAAAGAGGGTCTCCGATCCCGTAATGCTGTAGCTTGGATAGTAGTATCCGATGGTCTAGACGATCGAAAGCCTTGGAAAAATCCAGGTAGATCACATCAACACCTTCTCCAGCGTCGGCTGCCTCGGTCTAACTACTGCGTGCAATTAGTAAATTAGTTGTACATGACCGCTGTCGACGGAAACCGTGCTGTTCAGGAGTAATGAGATTGCAGTTTTCCAGATAGCACACCAGTGCCTCGGCCACTATGGATTCCATGACCTTGGAGAGTATAGGAAGAAGGGTTACTGGGCGGTAGTTGGAGGGATCAGATCTGCTTCCACCTTTGTGAATCGGGCTTATTATTCCAAGCTTCCACATGGCGGGAACTTGGTTCTAGTCTAAGCAGTGCTGGAAAAACTGAGCTAAATGTCCTGCCAGTTGGTTTGCTGCTACTCCCAATGCCTCAGGACGAATGGCGTCGACACCCGGCGAGCTGTGTTTGCGTAGAGAGGTCAGCTTTTGCAATACGGCCTCTGCGGTAAAAGTGATGTGGGTTAGTCCTGGTGAGCAGAAGACAAAGCTTGGTAGATCGCTTGGTGGCAAGACCCTTTGAAACGTGGGGGCGTATTGCATCTGCAGCGCGTTTGCAGCTTCCATAGACGTGCTTGTTGGGCCATCAGCCGTCTTGAGTGGAGGAAATCCTTGCCTAACCTTTTGTAGGCTATTAACGTGCTTGTACAGCAGTTTGTGGTTAGCACTGAAGGTTTTTGCGATGTTCTGCTGATAGGCGGCTTTGTCTTCTCTTAACAGTTGAGTGCAGTGGTTACGTTGGGCTACGTAGTTGTCCCAAGTTTCCGGTGCAGGAGCTTAGCCGTATACCCGCCATGCTGCGTTGCGTACTACCATCCGTCTTTCAGTTCTGCTGCCAACGAAAGAAATGGATTTGCCCTTATTGCAAGCTTTTATCTCTGAAGCTTGTGCAATCAGCTGACTGAATGTGTTGACGAACTCGAGCCAGGCGACTTCTGGGGGTTCTTCTTCGAGGAAAGACCATGTCGTGGCGCTGACTAGCTGGGAGAGTCGGTCGTACCTTGTGATGGTTCGCACAGTCTCATCTTTATCATTCCGATATTCTGCATAGCAGACGAAGTTGAAACTGATCACTGCGTGATCACTGCGACCCAACGGGCAGTCTAAAACCAACGCATCAATCATATGCTCCTCGTTGGTAAGCACAAGATCCAACACAGATGGCCTGTTACCAGTTCTGAACCGAGTAGGCAAAGTGATGTGGTTGTAAAGAGGAGCAGTAGTTACTAGATCTTGTAAATCGGTTTTGAATTGTTCGCCGGTTGTGGCAGGGGCTTCTAAACAATGTACGTTGAAATCACCCATGATAAGAATGTGAGTGTACTTCGGTTGCAAACTGCACCTTAAAGCAGCCGTTAGGTGGTAGTCGGTTTCGGGTGTTGAGTTAGGGGCGCGGTACACCAAGATAATAAGGCAAGCGTCCCTGCCTTTTAACTGCAACCGGCACCAAAGAGAGTCGGGGAACTGCGAATCTGAATCCTCCACGGCTTCGCACTGTAAGTCGTTTCGGTAGTACAGGATTACCCCTCCTCCTTTTGTGAGCCTATCGTTCCGGATCAGCGACATGCCGGGTAGCGACACTTCAGCGTCCCTCATTCCCGTGTGCAACCATGTCTCGGTGATACCAATGACATCAACGAGCCGGAAGCTTGGCGATCTTTCAGTTCAGCCAGTTTGTTAGAAAGTCCCTGAGCATTTGTATACAAGCAGGCCAGTTTCTCGGTCTCTAGGAGCCCGCAGAGAGGTGAAGCTGTCAAGTGTGGGAGAATGCCGACCGATGGGAGGTCGGCAGTTATTCGTTTTTTTGATGGGTCAATGATACCTCGTTTGCAACTTGATTCGGCCAAGGTGCGTCCCAGCCTTCGTTTAGACCTACTTCAGAGTCAATTAAAGCAGCAGTCAAGTTACACTTCTGTACATTCGTCAGGATGCTTGCTGCTTCAGTTGCTTTAATACTTGAGCTGTGCGAATTGTTTGCGACCTTTAACCGAAATTCGGAAGGACGATGTTTCCGATTTCTCCGCCATCGATCCAAAACATCCTTTGCTTGTTGCTCTGACTGAACCACAAGTTTTAGGATTCTAGGGCCGCATCCTCTATAATTCGATGAGAGAGGTATCCTGGTGAGCGATAGTGCCACAACATCATCCAAAGTAAGTGTTTCACGAATGAACCGCCACTGTTCTAAATCGTGCTTTCCGGTATCTCGAACATGGTTAGAAGGATGTTCTGGCACTCCATGTATGAAGACTGTGTTTAGGCGGTCTTGCTTGCTGTGCCCCTCTTCGGTGGTTCGTTTTGGTTGTCGCGCGCTCCAAGGGACATCAGGATAGATACGTATCGCACAGGATTCGTGTTTTAGCGCGCTTGCGGAGAGCAAAACATTTTCCACGTCGGTTGAGGATTCTAGAGTTACTCGAATAAGTCTGGGTTCACCATAGTGTGGCGAGTTCGGATGACGAGTAATTCGTAACAAGTTTACGGGCTTGGCTTTGATACTCATCTGCATACACAATGAGTTCCATTGGTCTTGGTCGTCTGATAACTTATCCCGCAATGTGATGGCGGTAGATTCAGGGACATTTGAGCATAACAGTCCGGGCACTGTTGTTGGATCCCTTTTTAATCGATCTACAAGGTATGGTACTCATTTGTCTTGACTTGTTGACAAGTGATTGTTTGCTGTTTTTTCTCTCATTTGCGTTAACGGTGTTTACAATGGAAGAGGACGCAACGGCGGCCTCTCGGTGGACCCTTGCAGCAATCTCTGCATAGTAACGTGTTCGGGAGGCTTATCTACAAATATTTGAGCTACAGGTACCAAGTTGGTGGTTGGCTGCTCCATCCTTGTTAATACTAGATTACCCGTGACATTCTCCACCCGCAAATGCCTTTCGATGGGAGTCTCTTCGGTTTCGCCTTTCTGCCATTGATGTAGTTATCCTTAGGCAACCGGGTCGTGAACAACACTACAACTAAACCTG